CATTTTAGCCATTATTTCATCAAAATTGCTAAAATTGGTTCAGGTTTGTACAGAGGTAAGACCTGCATTGGATGAGGAACTTCCGTCCCCATATATCGAGGAATTTAGGTATGCTTCTAAAGTTTTCTGGCTGGGGATGTATTTACACGGCAAACCGGGAATCCTTATTTCAGTTAGTAATGCTATTGTTTTGGCAGATATGCTCTGGATGCAGAAATTCTTAAATACATTGCTGAAGCTTATCCTAAAGGTGTCTGCTCGATTTACTGTGTGAGCGGAAAAGATGTGGAGGGTCCCAGATCTGATTTTGAACTTGTGGTGGTGATATCTGCTTCTAGGCACAGTCCACAAAACTTCTGGTGTGATACTAGTTAAAAGAATGCAATTTTCAAAGGAACTTTTTCTGTTTCTGCTGGTGATGCAGGATTGTGGTTTGAGTAGGATCTGTCTCCTGGTCAATTATTGCTTGTGGAAGTGTATATATACCTTTTTAGTTTTACATTTTAGCTCACCATTTAAAATTCAAATACATATTATCTTAGAGAGCAGATTTCATTTTTTGACAAAATTCTTTTTGACATGATTGATAGCAATGGTAGCTGGCGTTCGGTATGGAACATTGAGTTCAAAGATGACATACAAGTAGTTGATTTAAAGGGAAAATTGCAGGTATTTCGTAATAAGTGACTGCTTCGTCTCTCAATATAAATTTGTATGCAATAGGGATAGCATCATATTCAAAATCAAGTGAGAGTTAATCGTTTTTCCATCACTTGAACCCTTTTCTTTTCATCTTAGTCATATACTTGGTACTTTCTTCTTTCAGGTGGGTGCCCATTATTTTGAGGAGGGGAATGTGCAGCTAGACGCTAAACATGAATGCAAAGATTCAACTATCATTCAGGTCGGCTAATATTACATTATTTTGTTACTGAAATATTTCTTGTTTGGTTACCACTTGATACATCTTTCAGTGTTAATCCGTACTCTATGATTGCTATGTCTTATTATGTTTCAGGCTGCTGAAGAATCTGCAATTAGCATAGCCAGCATCATCCGCCACCATGAGACAGAATACTTGTCATCTCTTGAGGTTCATAATAAATTTTGCTTTGTTAAAGCTTGTCTTTTTCATAATTTTTTGCTAACATATTTGCATGGACAGGCATCCTACTCAAACTTGCCAGATACCACTTTCAAGGTACTGGCCTTAAGTAGTTGCTTATCGCAATTTCTTCATGATGAACCAACTTAGATTGTACCATCTCAAAATCTATATGCCCCACCCCCACTCCCATTCTTGTGTTCTTGTCTTGTGTTGTGTTAGTTATGGTTCTTCGTGAATGTTAGGATCCTGAAAATCTATGCTTCATTACCATTACTAGAAATGGAAAATTACAAGATAGATGGGCGGTTTCGAGGACCCCC